TGTTTGATGTTTTTGGTGTACCTAGGCTAGGCTAGGGTGGCAAATTGAGTCAAATTTAATTTTGCCCTTATATGTATAAATGATGATATATTAGTTTGAGTAGCTATATTTTAAATAATGATATTTGAGTATGGAATTTCTATATTTGTTGGAAGAGTACGTATGTGTAATCATTTCATTTGGTATTTTAAAGTATGATATTTGAATGTGAAATTTTTATATTTGTTGGAAGATTATGTATGTTTAATCATTTATTTGGCAGGCTAACACAATGCATATTGTGAATTATATATAATTTAGATTTTTTCACAAATATCCTCTGTTTCTTATATATTGTGAATTATATATGATTTATTTTTTTGTTGGTTTTTTGTCGCATTTCACAAATGGATTGCTTTTTAAAACGGGTTCCAAAATGTGGTACATTTGTAACTAAGCTCATGAAAAAACCCTTTGTTCACACTTTAAACCCTTTCAATTTTAGTTATTATGCCGCTAACTATGTTAAAAAAGGAGCGGAACATAATGGGCCGAGTTAATGGATACTATGGTGGGCCCTTGCTTCGATATTTCACACTATGATAAGATTTGATTTGGAGCACCTTTTTATGTTAGTGGGCCGCTGGACTCCACCACCAATATTCGAACTTCGAAGCACCGACATAAGTCCACTTGGTTTTACACTTTTCAATATTTTTTTTCTCTAAAATTTCATTCGTAACATACGGGTTCTTGTCTTAAAGTTGAGATGGATATGTTCCCTTGTTTTACGATTGTGGTCTAAGTTCTTGGTATTCGATTTTCACTTTCTTTTTATTTATTTTTTCTTTATTATTTATTTAATATATTCTTTATCCTTTTATGGTGATGATTAAATTTCGATCCAAGTCCAACTTTCTTACACGTGATACAACACACCCCATGTGAAGAAATCATAATATGGGCCCAGGTTGATGATCTTGTGGGCCTCTCTCCGATTTTGTGTACCTAGCTCAATATAATTTTGATCCGTATAATTCAGTTTTAATGTGAGCCCAAATTCGATTCGTGTTGAACCGTCAGATTACACACATATTCTTGTAGATGTAAGTGTATGTTGATCTGGTGGTTAAATTCGTGCAAGTGAAATTCACGGAGTGTTAAAGGGCTCTCATTGTGGATTTATAGTTCAAAAATAAAATTAAAATCACATGTTCATGCACTAAATTTGTCTCAATAGTTATGCTTGTATATAAATATATCTACTCAAAATAGTTGTTTTGTTAACCAGATTTAATATGGAAAAAATGTGGTATGTTTAGTTATTAATAGGATTTTGAGTTTATATTTAAATAATATTTAAAATAATAACTAAAATTGATTTGATGTAAAAGTAAGAGAGATGATGTGAAGTGATGGTTAGTTAAAATTATGTGAGTGGATGAATAGTAAATTAGATTTAATGTGATACTTAAGAATGATTAATTGATATTATTGAAGATAGTGAAGTTGAGTTAATGTTGAGTTTGATTTTGAGTATGAATTGAGTTTATTTGTATCCAAACACACCCTTAATAATCCATAGCTACACTATGAGATTTTGTTAACCCAAATTGAACGTTATGTGAACTATCCAAATTAGGACTAGGAATCACATGAATGTTTCTCCAAAATGAATAAATAATACATAAACAGATTGAAGGAAGAACCTGTTTCATTGCTGCATTACAAGTTTAATTACAACTGTTGATTTCTTGGAGATGACTTTATCAGCCAACAAACTCAACATATATATTAATTAATTAACTAATAATATAATTAAATAAAAAAAAAATCCGGCAGGCGAACTCGTCAACGGCGACTTCGAGACACCTCCGGCCGGCGGTTTCCGGGATGTCTCCGGCGACATTCCTGGCTGGAAAACCGAGGGCTCGGTGGAGCTCGTGGAGTCCGGGCAGAGGCAAGGCGGAATGATCCTAATCGTGCCCGAGGGTGCCCACGCTGCTCGGTTGGGCAACGATGCCGAGATGAGTCAAGGCGTGAAGGTTGAGAAAAACGGGCTTTACTCGGTCACGTTCAGCGCTGCCCGAACGTGCGCTCAGCTCGAGTCACTCAACGTGTCTGTGGGGCCCGCGTCTCAAACGATCGACCTGCAGACCGTTTATAGTGTACAAGGGTGGGACTCGTACGCGTGGGCTTTTCGGGCCCAAACAGAGGATGCTCGGGTGGTGTTCAGAAACCCGGGCATGGAGGACGACCCGAGTTGCGGGCCCATTATCGACGATATTGCCATCAAGAAGATGTTCGTGCCGGATAAGCCGGAAGGTTCGACAATTTAATTTTTTTTTTTCGAAAATTATTGTTGTTATTGTTATCTTGGTGCAATTCTCTTGGTAATAATATTGGTAAATAGTCTTATCATTTTGTAAAATATGAAATATAGCCACTTTTGGAGAAGTATGGAATATAATCATTTTGCTGCCATGTGAAATGATATAATTATTGCTCTACCAGAAAACGTTTTTAGGAATATGGGACTCAAGGAATTGGTTTATAGACAGTTCATAAACCATTTTTGAAATCTCATATTCTCGATTTCTGGCAGTAAGGGTAATTGTGTCGTTGCATAGGGCAAACTGGTTATATTTCATTTTGTAAAGTCAAAAAAGGCTAAAAAAAAGTGGGTCTGTGCAATTCTCTTGTTTTGGTCGTTTCTAGGAATCTGGGACTCAAGAAATTGGTTTATAGACAGTCTATAAACCATTTTTGAAATCCCATATTCCTAGAAATGGTTTCTACCAGTAAGGGTAATTCCGTCATTGCACAGACAAAATGGCTATACTTCATCGAAATCAATATTGTGGCTATATTTCATTTTGGAAAGTGAAAAAAAAGGCTAAAAAAAAAATTGAGATTGCTTCTCTTGATTTACTTTGTGTGATTATATGATTATGCCTTGGCTTATGCTTCAAAATTAATGTTAAGGAATCCGACGCACACGATTTAAAACGAACATGAGATCGTTTGACGAATTCGATATATTCGCAAACATTGTTCGGAACATGAATTGAATTTTCTTCTTATCATTGAAATTTACATGACTAATTTTGATAGACAACGCCGTACTAAACGGTGATTTCGAAGAAGGCCCGTGGATGTTCCGAAACGAGACCCTCGGCGTACTCCTCCCTACCAATCTCGACCAAGGCACCTCCTCTCTCCCGGGCTGGATCGTTGAGTCCAACCGGGCCGTACGCTATGTCGACTCGTACCATTTCAAAGTCCCCGGTGGCAAACGGGCCATCGAGCTCTTATCCGGAAAAGAGGGCATAATTTCGCAAATGGTTGGCACAAAGCCCAATAAGCCCTACCGCCTCACATTCTCATTGGGCCATGCAGGGGATGCGTGCAAACAGCCGCTAGCTGTCATGGCCTTTGCTGGAGACCAAACCCGAAACATACATTACACGCCTGACTCGAACTCGACTTTTCAGACAGCGGATTTGAACTTCACGGCTAGGGCGGAAAGGACACGTGTCGCTTTCTACAGCATTTATTACAACACGAGAACGGATGATATGAGCTCGCTATGTGGGCCTGTTGTGGATGACGTGAGGGTCGAGCAGTCGGGCTCGGTTGGGTTCGGGCTTGGGAGTTTGGGCCTATTGTTGATTTTGTTGTGCCAGTTGATGGTTTTGGTTTAGATGGTTAAAGAAGAATCAGGCCCAAATGCAAGTTTCCTTTTGTTAGAAATTTTGTGGTGTTTGGGCTTTTAAAGGGTTTGGTGTTCTGAAGTGGGGCTAAATTAAGTAAGAGTTTTCAATTTTATGCTTCTTTTTATTTTTATAAGCATGGTATTTATTTTATTTTATGAAGTGATGACGTGAAGAATTTCATACAACTAGTGCATATATTGCTGTTAATTTTTTTAAGAAATGTGCATGATGTGTTTTAAGTAAGCATAAGCATATTTTAATATTTTTTGTGTTGTTTCGATAATATGAAATTTAATTGAGTGATTATAGGTGAAATTCTAGAAATGCTATGTGCCAAGTAAACATAGGCAACCTTCTAGAAATATTGATATCTGCTGATTGTAAAATTAGTTCAAAGGGTACCTTTGGGCTAATTGATTCCGTGCATAGAGGACAAAGAGTTTGAACTTTGACTTTTGTATTTTCCAATACTTCTTTTGAGTAGGGGTTGCAAAAATTATTAAACAAAAACAGACAACAATCAAAAAATATGATTATAAAGATAAATGACATGATTTGAACGGCATTACATGACATAATGCAAAACATGATCCAAAAAAGCTCCAAATGAAAATTTAGTTAAATTTGGATTTAGTATAATGATTATGATCAAATAAAATGCAAAACACCGACGTAATCAGAAAATACGATTATAAAGATAACTTACTCGATATGCACAACAATACATGTCTACATAATACAAAACATGCTCCAAATGAAAATTTTAGTTAATATTGGACTTAGTATGATGCTTATGATCGAATAAAATGGA